AAAAAACGAACCGACAGGAAGTAGGTCTCTTTTCGCGAAGCTGGGACAGCAGGAGGAAGGGTGAGATTTTAGCTCTGAGCTCTGACCTCTCGGCTTTCTTCTTTACATTGTTTCTGTGTTTCTTATTTAATAAGACGGTTAGTTACATCTATATCCTGTCTCAAAAAACCAAACAAAAAACAAAACAATAAAACAAAACAAAACAACAACAACAAAAAAAACCAAAAAACAAAACAAACAAAAATCTCCAGTGTAAGGTGTTTACTAGGAGTCACGATGTAGCATATACATGGTACGTGACAAATAAACACTAGCAACTATTGTTATAGAATAGAGAGAATGACTAGAGCTATGGTAAATATTTAATGAAATACACTGTCTCTAATTCATTCATTCATGTATCGACCCATTCTTTCATCCAATCAACCATGCCTCAATTCACAAATATAGCTATGCCTAGGTCTGGGCTCAGAGTCACAAAATCAGACACAAGCCATTTTTGCATTAGAGGGCTTACGTTCTACTGGGAAGCACACATTCAATACACACTTGGAAGTGTTTCCGGAAGAATAAAAAGATGGTATCAACAGGGACCCAAGACAGAGGGTGGTTCTCAGTCTTGACCTTGCTCGCCATTCACTCACCTGTCTCCAGTTCCCAGCACAAAGCTAGATGAGTAGTGACATTAAATGTTTATTGAGAGGAAAACTAAAGGCTGCTGGCTGCATATTGTACCTGTTCCCCCATTGTTTGTTTCTTTCTTGTTTATTTAATGCATGTGTCCTTATGGGTTTATGTTCACACACATACTTACATACTTACTATGATAATGTGTGTGTGTGTGTGTGTGTGTGTGTGTATGTGTGTGCAGAAATAACACCAACAGAAAGTCTATAAAAAGACAGAGTCACAGGAAGGAGGTCTCTTGGCAGAGGAAAGGACAGGAGCGGCAGTGAAGGGTAAGGTTTTTAGCACTTAGCTATTACTCTGACCTCTTGGGCTTTCATCTCTGCATTGGCTCTGTGTTTCTTATTTAACAAGACGGTTACATCTACGTGTGTGTGTGTGTGTGTGTGTGTGTGTGTGTGTGTGTGTATGTGTGTGTGTGTGTGTGTGTGTGTGTGTGTGTGTGTGTGTGTACACATATAATAAAGAAGGATTTACTGGAATGTTTTCCTAGGGCATCTCAGTTTACATTTACATCATCATCTGTCTTTCTAAGACCTCAGCAGAAGGCAGGATAGTGAGTGCACATGGCATCAGTTAGGATGTACAGATCAGACAGTCCAGTGGCTGCTGTGAATGCCAGCACTCTTGGCCAGGGTGTGAGTGTCTTACATCATCGCTCCCACACTTAGGCAAAGGCACTTTCACTTTCAGTAATGAAAAAGTATCTCCATAATTTGTCCAGCCCCTCATGAGAAAGAGAAAGGACATCACACCAGGTGCCAGGTGTGATTTAACAGCAGAGGGTACCCGTTTGGGGCTGCAGGTACACTGTCACCCCGACTTGATGTCTCCATGGTAAGGCCCAGCCAGGCCCAGCCGGGAGACCCCTGA